GACGAGAGCTCGGGCCAGAGCTCTCCTGGGGCCAGCCAAGGTGACAGGGCCATGGGACAGAGCTGGTCCCATGCCGGGGCTGAGCAGCCCCTCCGATTATCCTGTGGGCCTCGGTGTTGCAGTGAAAGCCTTCACGGGGAGTTGCTAATAATGGCAGTAAGAGAAAATATGCTACATCTGTTATGGATAGCAGAACAAAATTAGCTGCTCACACCTCTGACATCCAAGATGTCTTAACTTAAAATACTCCTTGGCTTCCTTTGCATAATTTACTGATTATATTTAAAAGAAATACAATTTTGCAATTACTGTTCTTTCCAGCGTGATATCTATGCATCATCTCCCTTTTATGTTTATATATTTCTCCTTCATTAGTGCAGTCTGAAGGGTGATTAGGATTCTTCAAACATTTTACAGAGGTTAAACGTTGATTAAGATTTAATTATTACTGTAAATAGCACGGAATGACATATGGTGTAAAAGCCTGGCATATGTGCATTTGAATAAATGAAGCGCTATTTCCCAGGATGCCTCAGTCTCTGCTTAACAGCTTTCCCGAAGGGTTATGTTACACCTCATGGTAAGATTGCTGGGATGTTATATTTTGTTGGTTTTTGCAGCTGAAAGCGAAGAACAGTTTTCCAGTTTTTTAAAAACATTGAATATTTTAAATACCTAAATTGTTTTGCACAAATTTTTGCTAATTTGTCTAACTAGGTTAAACATTTTCAAAAGCATTTCGATTTTGGAGCGTGGGCTCCGAGCATTGTGTCGGTGGCGGGTGTGGAGACTCGGGGAGCCCACGGGGGGTGGGGGACATCAGGAGGTGGGGTGGGAGTGGGGGGATGGAGAGACCCCTGTGGCCTAAGGTGGGGAGAGGTACCCAGACCTTTCCCACCCGCTCTCCTGTGGGCTGCCAAGCCCTCAGCATCATGGGAGGCAGTGAGCTCACAGGGAGGGGTCCTGCTCCCCTCCCCCCTCTAAAAGGCCTGCACTTAGGATTCTAGCCTAGGATGAGATTTTCCTTCTGAACTCCAGGCGCATTTCCTATTCCATTACCCAGTGCCTTGTGTCATTCTTTCTTCCTCATATGTGAGTTTTGTCTCCTGAACCAGACTGTGAGCTCCCTGAGGGCAGGGACTGTCTGGTGCTGGGGAAAGACAGCTGGATTGGGAGTTCCAATCCAAGCCTTGGGCCCATGACCTGGATGACTCAGGAAGTATCCCTGGGCCTCAAGCTCCTTATCGTTGGCCTTTGAGGTCCCTTCCAGCATCAGGTCTATGATCTCCTCATGTGGGCAATGAGAGGAAGGGTCTTGGACTCCTGGATTGAGATGTCAGGGACCTTCAAGGTTGTTTAGTACACTCCCCTCATTTTACATTTGAGGAAAATGGGGCCCAGACTTGCAGGAAGTCACATAGGCAGAAAGTCCCAGAGCCAGGATCTGGAACCATGTTCTCTTGACCCTAGAACCAGGACTCTTTCCATGGCCCAGATCTAGCACAGGGTTGGACATATGGACACAGTTCCATATCCAGTGTGATCTCTGATCATTGTCAATGCCCATTAAAAGATGTGGAAAAGCACTGCAGGATTTGAGGGGAGTAAATGTTGTCTCTCTTTTCAAAAGGGGCAAAGAAGAAGAAAGAGGAGAAGGAAAAGGAGGAAGAGGAGGGGAAAGAGGAGGAGAGGGAGGAGGATAGGACAAACTATTGGCCAGTGAGCTGGGCTTTGATTTTTAGCAACATTCTAGAATGAATTATTAAAGGGGGGGCTCACAAGTACTTAGAAAGGGAAACAGTCATCACTGGGAGCCATCATGGATGCATCAAGGACTAGACATTCTAGCCTTGCTCTGTTTGACCCCAAAAGCAAAACCAGCACCATGGGTAGAAGTTGCAGAGAGCAAGATTTTGCAGAAACTTCCTAATAATTCAGACCCTTCCAGGGTGGAATAGTCTGCCTCAAGAAGTGGTGGGCCACCCCTCAATGGCAGTCATCAAGTAGAGGCTAGATCCCCTTGGTAGGGATGAAATAGTGAGGATTCTTGGTCAGCTTCAGGTTGGACCAGATCCTCTGAGTGTCTGTCCATGTGGGAGACTGTAGTGATTCTGTGGTTTAGCAAATACACTAAACTGAGTCGAGTTGAGTTTAGTAAACTCCCTTTCTGCATCCCTCACCACTTCCTAACCAAGTTCCTCTCACCCCATTTGGGCTCACTGAGACTTTGTAGGGCAAGCATTGTGGTCAGGGAGTCAGAAAGTCCAGAGTTCATATCCAACCTTGGACATTTATTAGCTGTGTGACCCTGGGCAAGTCACTTAACTTGTCTCTACCTCAGTTTCCCCATCTGTAAAATAGGGATAATAATTGTACCTACCTCCTAGAGTTGTGAGGATAAAATGTTGTTGTTGTTGTTGTTCAATCATTTCAGACTTTTTGTGACCTCATTTGGGGTTTTCATGGCAGAAATACTGGAGTGGTTTGCTATTTCCTTCTCCAGCTCATTTGACAGACAAAGAAACTGAGGCAAAGAGGGTGAAGTGATTTGCCCAGGGTCACACAGCTGAGGCTGGATTTGAACTCAGGAAGATGAGTCTTCCTGACTTCAGGCCTGGCACTCTATCCACTGTGCCAGCTAGATGTCCCAGAATGACATTAGATCATATTTATAATGTTTTGCAAAACTTAAAGTGATATATAAATTGTTGTTGTTAATGATGAGGATGATTGGCACAACTATCTCTTCTATGAGTACGGCCCCCCCACTCTCACCCCAAGGAATGGAAGACAATTTTCTGGATTCTTTTTCAAGTCAGCCCCTTCCTTTCTTCTTGACCATTTCCTGTCTAGGCATCTTCAGTCCCTGTTGTCCCAGGCCAATTCTGGCTCTGAGGTATCCACAGTGCCACCTGAAAAGGGTAAAGGCCACAGTCAATTTTCATTTTTAATTCAGTAAATATTTTTGAAGCATCTACTATGTAGAGGGCATTGTGCTCAGTGCTGAGGGCCCAAAGAGAAAAGGGAAGCCATCTCTGCCCACCAAGTGTTTACATCCTCCTGGGGAATACAGCCTGTTTGTAGCTAAGCTTAAGTTGAGAGAGAGAATGCTCATATCCATTCTAGAGAATATGGCACAGGGACATAGGTTTAAAGCTGGAAATGTGCATAGAAGCCATCAACCTTGGCAGAAATAGCTACTGGGGTCTCTTCTGACTCTCTGTGGTCCTGAGTCTACCCTGCCCCTCTCACTTTGCAGATGAGGAAACTGAGGCAAAGAGCTGCTGGCCCAGGGTCACACAGCTGGTAAGTGAGTGAGGTATGATTTGAACCAGGTTCTCCCAACACTGACTCCCTTAGCCAAAGCTTGATGATAAGAATTTTTAGAGGGAGAAATGAGAAAGAAGTGCCCTCTCTGCATGGGGGTGGTTGATGTGCAAGGGATGAAGGGCTGACTGATAATACAACTACGACCTACAGAGCAGATTCCACACCAAGAGGACCAGATTTGACATCAGAGGACCTGGCTTTGAATCCTGGCTCCTTTACTTACTACCTGTATGATTTTTGGACAAGTCACTACCTCTTCTGGGCTTCAACATCCTCACCTGTTGGAAGCTCAGAGGCTTCTAAAAAACCATAGAGGACATAGTCATTTCTTTTAAGGAGTTTAGCTTGTCCTACAGAACCCATATGTCTCTCTGAAACAGATTTAGGCTCCAAATTTGAAATGGTAGCTAGGACAATGATATACCCCAAGGAGATCATTGGCAAAAAGAAAGACTCCATATGCACCAACATATTTATAGCAGTACTTTTTGTGGTAGCAAAAAATTGGAAATAAATCACTTTGTCCGTCAATTAGGCAACGGCTAAACAATTTGGGGCAAATAGATTAGTGGAATATTACTATGCTGTAAGAAATTATGAACATAATGAGTACAGAAAAGCATGAAAAGACTTACACGAACTGATGCATAGTGAAGTAAGTAGAAACAAGAAAACAACATATACCGGAGCTGTCAAACTAGATCAAAATGTAATTGGGAAATATTTAATAAAATGAATAAAAATACAATAAAATATAAATAACATTGCATTTTAAAACTAACTCAGTATGTGACTCTTATGTATGTATTAATGACCCCCATTTTTGCTTGAGCTTGACACCCCATACACACAAAAACTACAACCATGTAAATGGAAAAGAATAAAAACCACAAGTTAATTGAAAATGAATGATGCAAAATTACCAAGAATAAATTTGACCCCAAAGAAGAGATAGGAGAAACACCTCCCCCAATTCCTTTGCATAGGTAAGGGATCCACAGCTGTGGAATATTACATTTTCTGGCAGATTTTTTTTTCAATTTTCTAATGCATTTCTGCTAAAAAAAGAAAAGTGACAATAATACCATGTTAATTTACACTTTTAGCATTATGCCAATCATATTATCATAGGGATGCTTTATAAGACTTGAGAAAATAATAATAAAATTCATCTGGAAAAACAAAAGATCTAAAATATCAAGGGAAATGATGAAAAGAGGTACAGATGGAGGGGAAAGAGCACTTCCAGACCTCAGGCTGTATTGTAAAGCAGCAATCATCAAAACCATCTGTTATTGGTTAAAAAAAAATAGAGAGGTAGATGTATGGAGCAGACTAGACAAGGGAGAGTCTGAAACAATGAAACTCAATAATCCCATGTTTATCAAACAAAGTGGAAAACTAAGTTACTTAGGAAAGAACTCTCTATTTGATTGAAAATAAAACTTCTAGGGAAAGTGAAAAGAAGTCTGGCAGAAATTAGGTTTAGACCAGCACCTTCCACCATACTCCACAACACATTCTAAATGGAGAATTGATCTAAATATCAAAGTTCTTCCACCTTTGCCAGTCTTTAGCCCCATGTGCTAAGTATCACTGGTTAATCCCTCCCTGTCTGTAGTGCCCATTTCTCACCTGGCCTCTTGCCTGCTCTTTTTTTTTTTTCCCAGATTGAAACATCCCAATTGGAGCCAGAGATTGCACTGGCCACAGCCAGTCGGACAGTGGTATACAACAAAGGCCTGTGAGTGGATGCAGGTCCTCTGGCCAGAGAAGCAATGCGCCAGAGGACCAGGTAGGCTGAGAGCTGGAAAGAGGAAATGTCAGCCTGCTCTCCTGACTCCAAGTAGTTGAGCAAGGAGTTCTAAGCTAATACCACATCACTAATGTTGGAAAGGAAGTAACATTTTCAGACAACCACCACCTTACCAGAGGTTGGGAGGTTAAAGCAGTCAGATTTTAACACAGGGGAGAAGGGGGTGGGGGGAAAGCCTAGTGCAGGGGAGAGTCAGATTTTATAGAAAGGAAATACTATAATCAAGAGCATTTCTGGGCCGTAGTGGGGAGCTTATAGAACCTATCCCAGCACAATCATGAAGGAAGCTGGGAAGAAATATATAGAATGCCCTAAAGAGAGAAATAGGGTGTTGGGATTTTAAAGGGTTTTTTTTTGTTTCTTTTTGTTTGGTCGGGTGTTTTAAAGTCAGAATTGAGTCTTAACACTGGTTGATGCTGCATAGAAGCCATTTCATAGCTGGGTGGATGAGCATGGGAATTGGGCACATGAACTTGGTGGGGTGGGGGTGCTGCATCACATCCTCTGGGGAAAACCTGAGCCCTGTTGCCCAGTCTTGCCCTGCCTAACCTGGTGTTCCCAGTAAGCAGGAGATGCTACATGTGTCCCTTCCTCTATTCTTCTCTCCCTTCCTCGAAGACTGGAACCCAACTGGACTGGAACTTGAGACCCTGGGGCCTTCCCATTAAAGGGACAAGGGAAGCAGGTCCATATTCCCAGCAGCAGCTTTCTGCCCTCTGGAGCCCCCCAGATGGGGAAGCTACAGGCCAGTTATCAAGGGCACCAAAGCAAGCCCAAATCCAGACCTTTCAGTAGACTGGGTGCCTCCACTTTGTGATTTGGGAAAGGGAGATGGGAAGGGACGCTACTAATGGCATGATGACATTGGAGGTACCCTACAACTGTGAGTGCTTCCAAGACTAAGGACTGACTCACCTGTGGGAGAAGATGCCAGTGGCACTTTATATGCTGCAACAGGAGAGGGATGAGGACTTTAAGTGGCCCAAATTGGTGAGGCCTGGGGAATGGAGGAAGAAAGTGGCAGCAAGTTCCCAGGGTTGCAATCTAAGCTGGGAACTGATGCTCTGGAGTGCTCCCCTGAGCCATTTGGGACAGACTAGACCTGGTCTCTGGCCCAAAACTCTAGCCAGAAGATCAGGATCAGGCAATCTAACCCTTCCAGGACTGCCTGGCACCCCTTCCCCACCATGGAAGCCAATCAGTAACCAGATCTCAGATGGCACCTGTCTACCTGTCCAACCATCCAAGCTACACCGGTGTGTGCTGAAGTCCCCTGTCCTCTTCTTCTCCCCACTCTATCCCTATCAGGAATAAGCCAAGACTTGATGGAAGCAAGGTTATCTAAATCCTTAAAAATGACCCAGAAATTGGTTCCGTCCAGCCTCCAAAGCCATTGAAGCTCCAGGGGAGGAAAGAATTCTCCTCTCCCCTCTGCCCAAGGAGGAGAGACCTAGCAATTAAAGATATGCCACTCCTCTTGGGATGGGGACCATGTAGGAAAAGCCATCTGGGACACATCTGTCCAGGAAAGATGCAACTGAGCCTCTGACTCTTCACGAAGATCAATGGAAGTGGGGACTACGTATGAACCTCAGGATAGCTGTGCAACTGACTTGAATGTTTGGACCAACTTGGGTTTATTCCCCTCTGGACCACTCTGCCCCAAAGCAGCCTGCCCCCTTAGACCTGGACTTCCCTTGACTTCTCCCTTTCCTCTATCCTCTCCTCTTCTCCCCAAGTGGGTTTTGTATCAGGGATGCAGAGAACTGTTGTTCCTCACTCAAGCCTGAGAGGCTGGGTGCTATGACAGAAAGCCCAAACCGGGGGCAGCTTGGTGGCATAGTGGATAGAGCACTGGCCCTGGAGTCAGGAGGACCCGAGTTCAAATCTGGCCTCAGACACATAACACTTACTAGCTGTGTGACTGGGCAAGTCACTTAACCCCAATTGCCTAAAAAAAAAAAAATTCCTACCACTGACCTGCTTTGTGACCTTAGGAAAATGACTTCCCCTCTCTGGATCTCAGTTTCCTCGTCAGTGAAATGGGTAGTGGTAGGAGGATGGGGACTATATTGATCTTAGAAGTCCTTTCCAGCTCTCAGAGCCTTTGATACTTTGACTCCAATTCAAAATTGGATACAGAAAGGTATAGGCTCACATCTGCCTGGATAAATCCTATAAGGGATTGTTTTTAAAAGGACCAACTATTATTATCAATGATTATGTTGAAAGAAGAAAAAAATCCCTGTTTTAGTAACAATGATGCCTCAGCTGTCTAACGCAAGACTAACCTGGGAGGGGTCCCCAGGCAAGGCCAAACCTCAGCTATGATTTCAGGATTCCTGGAGCCCTTAAATGCAGTCAGATCTCAAAAAGGGAGATTACTGTGGCCTGGAGTGACCACCTGTCACTTCTTATTCACTTGTCTTATGGCTAGGTCTCCTGTGAGACGCCTGGGCTGCTGTGAAGAGTGATAGGCTTAAAACAAGGTCTCTAGCTTAGGAAAAGAGATAGCCAAACTGTGCCCTGTAGGGACGGAGGGGAAAAGCTGGGCTAGTTCCCTTGGCTCTGAGACGGGCAACAGAGCTCTACCAGCCCAGGGGAGCTGTTCTCAAGGAGGCTTCCTCCTACCAGACTGAGCTAGGAAAAAGGGCCCAGAGAAGGGTAGCAAAGCGCTGGAAGTCACACAGGGACCACCTTGGGGACCAAGATGGCAGGTGAGACTCCTCTCTCTTCTGAAATGTCAGCTTGTGGTACCGGGTAATCTCTTGGTTTGTCATGGGGCCAACTAGTTCCCATCCCCAGCCTCCTTTGACACAGCTGGGAGCCCATTAGGTGGGGGGGGGGAGAGATACTCCAGAGAGTCGAGTACAGAGGCCAAAGTCAGTGTGTTGGGCAGTTAGGCTACACCCCCACCCCCACCCCCACCCCTGGTGGGGGAGGCTCAATATGTGTATTGAGGAGGAGCAATAATGAGGAGGTGTATTCTTGAATCTGGCCTAGAGCTGGGTCTTTCCCCGCCTCACCCTGGGCTAAGAAGAGCCAATCCCACTGTAATGTGAATTTCCTGTAATCCCAAGGTTTTAGAGGACTAAGCATGTAGGCATATGCATGGGGGCCCACCTGTGGGCACAGGGAGCTGGAGGCCCCCAGCTTCCCTTGCAAGAGATTGAACTCAGCACCAGGAGCCCTACCCTGTCGCCCTCGAGCTAGAACTGCGCACTCTATCTTGGGCCATGGCTGCTAGCGGACATCCCCCAAGGAGATGGGGAAGGAGCCGCCCACCCCTACCATGCCAGCATCCTCAGATCCTGGCCATCTCTTTTCCATTGTCTTCCAGCTGATTTCTAGCAATCTTAACTAAGCCAGGTGTCTTCTCTAGAAGGTAGGAAGGTTGAGGGAGGTGGTGGAGGAAGCAGAGCCCTCCTTTCTGCACAAGCTGAAAATGGGTGGAGTGATCTGCCTTTCAACCACTCTGATCCATTACACCCCCCAAACCTTGCTCGGGAAGCAGCTTTGCAGATAACCACTGGCCCAGAATTTCCGCACTTCTACCCAGGCAAGAAGAAAAGAACATTGGCAGCCAGGGAAAAGGGCAAGGTGCTCCCTGGTCCCTTGCAGTGTTCACCTGTCAGATTGATAGAAGGTGCCAAGTCTGGGGGTCAGGTCAGCAGAGGCAGCTTCAGCTACTACTGAACTCAGGGTTTTGCCCACCCTGTGCAACAGTCCGTCTGTAGATGTTTCTCATCCTTCACCCAGCTGCTTCCAGATCTGCCACAGAAGTGTAGGGCTGCTCTTCTGCCCAGATTGGGAGGGTGGCCCATTTGGGTTACTCAAAGGACCAGGTGCCAAGGATCACATGTCAGGAGATTCAGGCCCCTCGCAGGGAGGAGAACGGACCAACCTGTCTACCCATCATATCCTTATCTTCCTTCCCTGCTGCAGCCTGGGTCCTTGATCTGGACAGCTTCAGCCACCGTGTGTGTGACCATGTCCACAAGAGCACCTTCATGTTCTGCTGGGGTGGGGGGAGGGAGGAATGGGGAACCTATTCCAAATTGCCAGTTGTCTTCCAGCCCAGCCTAGGGCTCAGTGTGAATAATTGTACCGCCCTATATACCTCGGCCACACCAGGGGATTTGCCAACTGTGGGCATAGAGTCTTTTTAACCTTCTGAATCAATTTCTCATTCTCTGTTATTTACATAACACCAATAAACATCAAAGATTAAAGCCCTAAGACTTGCCTTCTTGGATGGGGAGGGAGAGAGGAAGCCACCAGAGCAGCCTGGAGTGGGTGGTCAGAGGGAGCAGCCCGCAGGGGCCAGTTCTGGAAGCCCCCTTTCCAGGAGGAGGGTCACAATACTAGGGTCCCAGACCCTTATGCAGCCCTGAGGCCTGGCTCCCTGTGAACTCGGGGGACAGTCAGACAGTGGAGAGAAGGGGAGCAGTTAAGGACAAAGGGGGGGAGCAAAGAGTGGACAGAATGATCCCCTTCTCAGGATTTCACTGAAGGCAAAGGAGTCCTTGTCATTTATAGAGTCGGAGCTAGAGTTGGAAGGGACCCCAGAAGCCATCTAGTCTATCCCTCTTATTTTACAGAAAAGGAAACTGAGTCTCAGGGAAGTTGAGTGGCAGGCCACGGGTCCCAGTCGACATGACAGGCAGCATTTAAACTCTCTGAGTAGTGAGCCAGTGTTCCTTGGAGCCCATCTACTCCAGCTCCCTGATTTTATCAATACTGAGACTCCAAGGCCCCCATTGCCCAGCTAGTAGGTCTGAAGCCCAGTCTGGGCTTCAGACCAAGGCTCCCTAACTCCAAAGTCAGCCCTTCCTCTGCATCGTGAAACCCCGGGGCCCCCAGACTCCCTTCAACAGGGAGCTCCCCTAGTGCACAAGAGGGCTCCATCTACACCAAGTCCGTGGGTCTCCGGCTGCTCCACAATGAGTGAGCATCTTCCCTCTGGAATGGTAAGCACCCTCCTAACCCCATGTCAGCCTCCAAGTCCCTTGTGGCCTGGGTTGAAGTCCTTCTCATTTTAGCCCCAGGAGGCAGCATGGGGCAGGTGAAAGAACATGGTTCTCTCTGGAGCCAGAGACCCTGGGTTTGAATCCTAACTCTATCATTGGCTACCTGCGTGACTTTGGGCACGTCACTGGACTTTTCTGGGCTTTGGCTCCCTCTAGACAAGGAAGATGGACCAGAGGACTCCTTCTGGCTCTTAATCTGTGATCCCATGATCATCTTCCCTCCTGCTACATAGTGTGGGGTCTACTGTAGGATGAGTGGCTCAGTCCTGTCCCTCATTTTCCACACACACACATTCCCCAACCCCAACTCCACATCCCAGATTTATTACTCTAGATTCAGTCCCTGCCTAGAAGCCACCACCAACCCTCCTGGAGTTCCTGAGGAGTAAGAGAAGACACATTTCTCTAAGGGTCTTTTAGCATATTCCAGATGAGGCGAGCAATAGTCCTCCCTCTCTCTGGCACCCCAGAAGGTCACCTGAGAGACATGAGGCAGCAGAAGAGATGTGGAGGCAGAAGAGGAAGGGACAGAGTGGGGTATTTATCACCAATCTTCTATGTGTCAGACACTGGATATACAAAGACTAACATGGTAGCTCCTGCCCTCAGGGAGCTAACTTTCTGTTACATCCTTTGATCTTCTGCATAAGAGAAGGAACATGGGCCTGGGCGACTGGCAATGCCTTTGGCTCTGGACGTGCGAGATCTTGGATAAGTCTCTTCTCGTCTCTGGGCATCAGTTCCCTGCCCACGAAATGGACAAGAGAGGGTTCAGTTAAGTGACTGTTAAGGTCCCTTCCCATTCAGATGCCTGTTTCTTTGGTCCTAACCCTGGTGAAGGCATCTCCTGGAGTACCATGCAACCAGACGTGTGTCTCTCCCAGCCCCTGTGCTCTTCACTGTTCTGATGATCAGCAAAAATCCCCTGAGGGAGGAGGGGCTGGAAGAAGCTTGGGCCCCACTGAACTCATCACCCCAGAGATCATTAACCCTCTAGGAATGTAATGCCCCTGAGCCTCAGCTTGGCTGTGTCCCCAGCCTGCCCCTCCCTGTCAGCCTCCCTTCCTCCACACTCTTCAAGACTGTATGTGATTTACAAAGCATTTTCCTTACAATAAAGTAGGGGGCGAGGTGCATTCTACAGATGAGGAAACTGAGGCTTGGAGAGATGATGGGACTTGTCCAGGGCCACATGGCTAAAAAGTGTGGTGGAGTAAAGAGATATCATGATTATAGTAGTAGTAGTAGTAGTAGTAGTAGTAGCAGCAGCAGCAGTAGTAGCAGTAGTAATAGTAATAGTAGTAGTAGTAGCAGTAGTAGTAGTAATAGTGGTAGTAGTAGCTGCAGCAGTAGTAGTAGTAATAGTAGTGATAGCAGTGGTAGTAATAAATATTTGTATAGCACCTACTTTGTGCCAGGCTCTAAGCACGTTATGATTATTATCTCATTTGAAAGGTGGAAGATGGGGGGAGGCTGCCACTGGCTGAGAAGTCAGGGTTCAATAACTCCCTGCAGATTCAAGCTGTCACCTATAGGTATCTCCTCCCCTGCCAACAGTGTTCAGGGGACACATGGTTCTGCTCTTGAGTCTGACCCTTCAGGACTGAGGGCCTCCGTCCAGCCCCCAAGGGCGAGCCCTCCTCCTCCATGGAGCAGTTCAGTGACCAAGCTTTATGGAGCCCCTTGTGGCGGGACCAAAGATGGAGGAGCGTGCTTCTCTCCTGTCCCTATTACCTCTGATGGTTGTTATTCAATCCTGTCCAACTCTTTGTGACCCCATTTGGGGTTTTCCTGGCAGAGATACTGGAGCAGTTTGTCACTTCCTTCTCCTCCTCATTTTACAGATGAAGAAACTGAGGCAAAGAGGTA